TTGCAGAAAGGTGGCAAGTTACAGTAAGTTTGGGAGACACAGGAAATTCAGCCAACACTAACTATACTTTGTCGTTTAGGTGTAACACCCAAGGGTCTTCCGGTGTGTATGTATTTATTCACTTCTAATAAGAAGCTTTTGGGTTTTTAGTCCCTTGTGAGGCTCAACACTGGACACAAAACATTTACTGATGATACCTGGGGAAGGAGACAGATTTGTGTATGCTATTGGTTCTTTACTCACTGGGTATTATTACTTCTTGATTCTGGAACCACTTGCAAACATAACTTTTATTTTTTGACTGTAAAAATACCTGGATGAATATAGATAGAACTGATTGTGTTGATTTCTCTGATGGTGCTATCACCTGATTTACCCGCACTGTCCTCCCCTCTGGTACCCTCCTTCTGATAGGACCTTTGATTTCGCTTGCTCTTCTATCTGCCTCTAACATTCTTTTTTTCTCCCCTCCCCCCAAGTCCTTCTGACACTCCCCCACCCCCGCATTGTAGGGCTTAAATTCAGGGCCTATCCACTGTCCCTGAGCTCTTTTTGCTCAAGGCTAGCACTCTATCATTTTGAGCCATAGTTCCACTTCCAGTGTGCTGGTGGTTAATTGGAGACAAGAGTTTCGCAGAAGCCAGGCACTGGTGGCCCACACCTGTAATCCTAGCTACTCAGGAGGCTGGGAGCTGAGGGTCGTGGTTTAAAGATAGCAGAAAAATCCATGAGACTCTTATCATCAGTAAACTACCAAAAAGCTAGAAGTGCAGTTGGAGCTCAAGTGGAAGAACACTAGCCTTAAACAAAAAAGCTCGGGAACAGCACTTGGGCCCTAAACTCAATCCCCAGGACTGGCACTCTAAAGATATTTTATATGACCAAATGTAGAAAATTTAAATTTATTATTATTCAACTATCTGAAAGGTTATCCAAATATCTGAAAGGTTATCTTCATGAGATACGCATAAACTATAACATAAAATGACCATACGTGGGCAAAACAATGAGGTAGATTTAAAAAGGATTTATTACATGGACATTGATGAGCCTGAACTAAGCAACTCAAGGGCAGCAATGGGAGGGAGAGAATGAGAGGGACAGAGGGAATAGCTTACACTAAGCAAAAGGAAAGAAATGTATATAGCACCTGGTTTGGAAAAATTAGTTGTAGTGTCAAAGATTGTAGAATGCATCAGCTTTATAGACCATGAAAATGAATATGTACCTTATGAAGGTTAAAATGTGTTTGTAACTTTAGTTAAGTATCACTATCCCACAATACTGTGAAATTTATACAATCAATCTCAATAAAGAAAAAATGTTTTAAAGAACTAGAAAAAAAAGGATTTATTACAAACTATATTTTTCACATACTTTAGTTGTACAGGGGGAGGGAGATTCCATTGTGACATTTCCATGTATGTACACAATGTATACTAAGGAATCTCCCCCATTCTGCCACTCTCCCCTTCCTTCTCTCCCTTCTTAAAACAATTTCTATGGGTTTTATTGGTTGATTTTTATTTTTATTTTTTTGTCAGTCATGGGGCCTGAACGCTGTCCCTCAGCAATTCAGCTCAAGGCTAGCACTCTACCTACTTGAGCCACAGCACCACTTCCGGTTTTCTGGTGGTTTCTTGGAGATAAGAGTCTCATGGACTTTCCTGCCCAGGCTGGCTTTGAACCACAATCCTCAAATCTCAGCCTCCTGAGTAGCTAGAATTACAGGCGTGAGCCACTGGCACCCAGCTTATTGGTTGATTTTGATACATGCAAATAAACTATGAAGACCCAATCATCCTCACTCATCTTCCTTGTTAGTCTCCACCCCCTGCTGGTGTCTACCTCCCCCATCTAAACCTGTTTCACTTTCCAGTCATTCTTTTTTTTTTTTTCCTTTTAGGGTATATTAATTGCACCACAGAGTCCCACTATGGTATGTCAGACATGCATATCTTACGTTTTGCTCATCATAACTCTGTTTTCTCTTCTCCTGACTCTTCAACCCCCCTATAGATGAGTAGTTTATATTGAGGTTTTTATGCCCTTTTCATACATATAAATTGTGCCATATTTTAGAAAACTGTTTTTCCACTATTGTATTTTTTGTACTTTTAGGCACTGAATTAGGTATAGTCTTATATTCTATTTAATGGCTTACTTTGAACTAAGCCCCTAATGGAAATGACCTGTCCTGTATATCTTTGTTTTCTCTCATAATGCCCATTTGAATAGAATGCAGAGAGTACATCATCAGGAAGTACATTTACCTGTGAGAATCTGAATCTGTATCAAATCAATTATTATATGTATATGCCCATGTAGCCTCTGAATATATTTTATGCATTTTTCACAGTAAAATTAGAATGTCTTAAAGTAGCATTGCCTTGATAATATATATTTATTGACAAAAATTATAAACTTTCAAAAAATTTAGGATGAAGGGCGTAGAGGATCTTTAAATATATACAAAGATAAAATGTCCTAAAAGTCTTGTTTTAAACAGCAGTAGCATTAGTAGCATAGAAAATAAAAAGCAGAATGTTTCATTCTGCAAAGTCAACCATAAAAGAAGACAATGCTCCTCACTAAATAAGAAGCTCTTTCTATGCCATCCAAAAAAGATGACCTACACTTTGCTAGGAGTGTGGGATCAATCCACAAGTGTGCGCTTTCTTGGATGATTTATGAATAAGAGCAGGCGTCCTACTGCCAAGTAATCAAAGGCTTAGGCTTCAGGCCCTGTCAGCCAGGTGGGCAAATGTCACAAGGTGCTCACTCAGGAACTTTAGGTTTCCTCCTCCCACCCCCCACCCCATCAAATACACACAATTGCAAATGCTCCAGGCCCATAAAACCTAGACCCATCCTTGCCAGGCCTTCAAGAGAATATTAACATTAAGACAACTAGGCTAGAACTCACAAAAAATGATGCAAAAGTCAAGCATGACTTCAAACATTTCTTACCAGTCCAAGGAGAAAAAAAACCAGTGAGGTCTAATTGTTGTGTTGTTGTTACTACTTTTCCCAGGAAACAAAATGATGTCTCAGAAACCATGGCTAGATAAAAGCTACCTTCATTAAATGTTAGCCTAGTACAACGTGTAATCTCAGCTCTCAGTACCCATAAAAACTAGGTAATGCATAGTAGTCAAACCAGATGCTAGTGTTCAGTGCTTATTTTCAATAGAAAATAGATTATCTTTATTGGTGCTAAGTATAACTTGGTTAAAACAAATACCTATGCATTTTCATTCTGAATGTGTGTGAGTCCTGTTTGCACGACCGACTTAGCAGTCAAACTAAGAAGGGATTGTGATTGATTAACTAGATTGGCAAACACATTTGACACCAAGACCAAAACAAAACAAAGGCAAAAAAGTACAAAATCCTACTTAAGTTTTCAAACTTGGGTAGTAGAGAGAGACATGGGGTTTGCGTGGTGTGGAGACGGTGGCATTAATACGTGGTAGATTTTACAGTATGACAGCATGTGTTTAGTTAGGATCGGCTACGCTGCCAGCTTTAGTTTGAAGGTTGTTCACCCACCACCACCCCGCCCATCCCAGATCAGGTCCCGCAAGGCCTTGACGCTCTGCTTTCTTCTCCATGGTGCTCTGAGACTGGTCCCTGGCCACTTCTCGTCCCAGGACGCCCAGGCCTCATCGAGGACACCCTCAGGAAGGTCTCCTTGGGAAGGCCATCACGCCAAGGGAAAGTTACGAACGAAAGCAAAACGGATGACCACCACTGCGCCCTTCCAATGGGGCGCAGCCAGTTGCCAGCCCTGGACGCACCCGCGGAGGGGGAAGGGAATGTCGCCACCGAATCCCAAGGCAGGCCTGGGGACCCACCTCCGGCTCCCGGCCACTCCCGCCCTCCGCCCCACCTCCGGGGCCAGCACAAAGCCGTTCCCCAAGGCTGCGGCTGGGACCCAGGAAGGCCGCCTGGAGGTGGCGGGCCCAGGCCCGGCGAGCCTTGGCGCAGGCCTCGACTCTTGGGAACTCTTAGGGGACTCTTGCGGCGGGAAGGGCGCAAGTGAAGCGTTCCCACGGCCCTGGGGTGCCTCCCCACCCCACCCCCAGCAGGCTCACCCTCCCACCACGCCCGAGGTGGCGGCCTCAGCTCGCAGCGCCTGGGCCGGGCCGGCCGTCGGGCGCCGGCGAATGGCTCCTTTGGAGGCGCCAACTCGCGGCCTCCAATCAGTTCCCCCATTTGCAGCAGCAGGCCGTGGCCCGGGCCACCCTGTGCAAGGTGGCCCAACAATGCAGGGGCAGGGAGGGAGGCTGGAGCCGGGAGGAGAGGCGGATGGCGGGGTGGAGGGCGAAGGGACCGAGGCCCCGGCGATCACGGCCAGCCCCGCGCCTCGCCTCGGATCCAGGGCGACACGCGCGCGCCGGCCGTGCGGGGGGGAAGATGGCCGTTTCGGCGTCGGTATAAAAGCTCTTTGTTGCGCTCACACAAAAGCAGCCGAGACCCGCGTTTCCATCGGGGCCTTTGCAGAAGTCCAAGGGATTCCGCTGAACTTCCAAAAAGGCCTTGGAAAGTCCAAGGTGGTGGATCTCCTCTTAGGAGCGGAGAACAACAGGTCTCCCGCCCCGGTGGACCCCCAGCCTCTGTCAGTACCCAAGAAGTCCTCGGGTCCTGGGAGCAGGAGCGGAGGTCATCCGTAAGGGAGGAAGCAAAGAGGAAACCCTGCTTTTCCTAGCGAAGCCCAAAGGAGAAAATTAAACATTCACATCCTTGTAGGGTTTCTCCTCTTAATCAAGGTACAAACACAATCCGGAAAGATCTGGATCCACCAAAAAATAATAATAATAAATAAATACAATTTTTTTAAAAAACAAGAAAAGAAATAGAAAAAAAACGAGAAAAAAAACGAATAGCAACTTTGGAGGGGGGAAAAAGGGGCAAAAACAAAAAAACAAAACATAACCAACCAGTTGCCATCAGCCCAAAGTGGCAGCAGCCGCCGCCGGCGCGTGTGATCCACTTACTTGTCCGGCTCTTGTGACATGTTTGATCCAATGAACTCGCTCCCCTTTTCCTGGAGCCTCAGCCTCTGGTGAAACTGGACTTTCAAGTCTGTGCAGGTGAAGGTGTGTGAGAGCGCCCGAGATGGCAGAACAAGAGCTACAGGTAATTCTGCTTTTTCCGTCCCCCTCACCACTCTCGCTCGCTCGCTGGCTCGCCTGCTCGCGCCCTCACCTAGCCGGAAAGGTGGGATGGGGGGGAGGGGGCCCTCACATGGGGCCGAGCTCAGAGGCGGCCCGGGCGGCGCGGAGTCCCTCCTGGATCGTGGCAATGGGCAGACAGTGGCGGACTTGGGCGGCCACAGGTAACTTTCTCGCAAGAAGCTGAATTCTTTCACTAAAGGGTACAAGCCCAAGGGACGAGCTGCGCGGTGATTGGCTGCGGAGCTCCCTCAGGTGAGCTGCCATTGGCAGAGGCGCACTCAGGTAAGGCCCTTCTCCAAGTGCAGGTAACTCACTCCGAAGTTTACCCGAGTGGAGCGGTGGCCTGCCTGCTCGCAGCCCCGAGGCAGCCTGGGGCAGAGGGAGAATCCGTGGAGCAGACTTTTTCCTTCTCCTCCCCCTCCCCCAGGCCGGGGGTGGGGAGGTGGGCAGGTAGGGGCTACGGATGGGAAGACCAGGAACAGAGGGGGATAAAGGCAACTTGTAAACACTAGGAATTATGGGTCCAACGGAAGGAGAGAGACAGACAGACAAACTTAGAAATCCAGAATCCAATGTGCAGCACACCACAAGGTATTTGAAACCTCTTGTAAGACAAGTGACGTGGGCAGAAGAGTAAGCGACTTTAGTTACTTTGAGCTCAGAGGAGGGGGGCAAGAAACACAAAGATAGCCGGGTCTTGTTGCGTAATTGCATTTTTAGCATTCTTATCCACAACACTTTTCATGCCCTAATTGCTACAGGTACTATGTAGTTTACAGATTTTCAGATAGGTGAGCATGCTCGCATGAGCTGGAAGATGAAGAGCGGTGAGGTTCGGATAAAAAAAAAAAGGAGGTTTTTGGCTGAATGGACACCTAAAATGGCTCAGCGCACCTCTGGGATCTCAGCTCCGTAGCCTGGGATTCCAGAGCTGCAAACAACCACTCACTGAATGGGTTCCGTAAACCTGTTGCCATTTGGACGTCTCTCGGCAAGCATCAACATTTACATTGTAATTCAAGAGAAGCAGCTACTACAAAGGTGCTTTATCATGGCAGTGTAATACGGTTGCTAGGGAAACCATGCAGGATGAAACTGACTTTCTTGTGGTTCTGTTTGTCCTGGTCGGGAACAACTCGAATTAGCAAAGGTGTAATTTATAACCGCTGTTTACTAAAGAGTGGAAGTCCTGACAGAGATCTAGCCCATACATGTGGGTTGTGGAAATGAAGGGCATGGAAAGCTTACCACATTTTATTCCAAGTTAATACTAAAGCTACCAGACTTGCTTCAACGTATCTTTTAAAACTTTCTGGATCACATAGTTCTAAAAATCAGATTATGAAGCTCGGCACTGGTGGCTCATGCCTGTAATCCTAGTTATTCGGGAGGCTAAAATCTGAGGATCACAGTTAGAAGTCAGCCCTAACTGGAAGGTCAGTGAGAATCTTACCTCCAATTAACTACCAAAAAGTCAGAAATGGAGCTGTGGCTTAAGTAATAGAGTACTAACCTTGAGCAAAAAAAGGTCAGAGATAGTACCCAGGCCCTAAATTCAAGCCCCTAGACCAGCACACACACACACACACACACACACACACACACACACACACACACACTCACACACACACACACACACACACATACAAATCACATTATGAAGCAAGATTTGGGTGTCCATGTTTTGACTCTGGACAAGTCAATTTTACAATTGTATTCTTTTCTTTTTTAAATATTATATTATTAAGGTGTTGTACGGAGGAGTTGCCATTTTATAAATCAGGTAATGAGTACACGCCTTTCTTTGGACAATGTCACCCCTTCCTTTCCCCCAGTTTCCTCATCCCATCTCTGCCTACATGTTAGTAGTTCATCTTCCACAGAGTGTACACTGAATAGCATGACTGCATTCGTTCACCTTCCTCCCTTTCTGAGCTCCCCTTCCCCCTTTAAAAAAAATACCAAAAGCAAAAACAAACACACTCAACAACAACTATATTCTTAAAACAACCTAAACACCCACACACTTACTTTTAACGTAATAGTTTAATTAATAGAGAGCCCATTTCTTCGCTTGCCTTCCCAATCTCCTTTCTAGAAGCAAACACATTCCACTGTCTTGATTTATCAATGTAGATTTTGGGCTTTGACCACCTGTTGTCTCAGATAAGGCTGTAACCCTCTGCCCCACCCACCTTCCCCATCCAGCCATTCTTCTAGCCTAAGGTTCACAGTTTCCGGGCTAAGAAGAAAGAGGCTGTGCAAACATCAGTGACCACAGAGACAACTGGTGTACTACAGTTGTTTGCTTTCCTATAAAGCCTTTTATCTCTTAGATTACTGTGCTTCTATCCTGATATTTTTTGTACAACTGATCTAGGAAATAAATGTCACATTTGTTTCCCAAGTGATCAAGCAACCAATTCTATTTACCTGTAGGAAATGGCACATTCCTCCAAAACTCTCCTGCCCTCCTGTTCCAATGGAGGTAAGTTGTTCTGGGGAACTGTTTCCGCTCAGTTCTCATACTGGGACACTCCTTTATAGTCAGATAAGACCATCATTTCTTTGTCTTGTGCCTTCTTTCTTCATTTATGCTTCAGTGTACAATGGCACTTGGCATTCCCCATGGCTTTGTTTTCCAACAACTCAAGAAGGAGAATGGAAGGTAAAATGTTAAGTCCTTACATGCTTGAACCATCTTCATTCAGCTTTTACTTTTGATGGGAGAATTTGAGCAGGTGTTGATCCCAAATTGCAGTTTTTTCATCCATGATCTCATAGAAATTGCTTTCTTATCTTCTAGCTCCCAATGCTACTGCTGAGTATTTTAGTGCCATCCTGATTCTCATTCCCTGTGACCTGGAATTTTGCTTTCTGGTAATTTATAGAATGATCTCTTTATCTCTAGTAGCCTGAAATGCCATAATTATGTACCGTGGTTCAGATATTCATCATGCTGGGCATGAGCTCACACTAGCAAACTGGGTGCTTATGTCTACTTTAGGAAATTCTCTTTAGATCTTTCTTTAATAACATTCCCTCCTTTTGTAGTGAACCTCCCCAGCAGAATAGTTAAGAACACAAAAAGTTCTAGAAGAGGATTACCTGAGTTCAAATACTGGCTCTACTAATGACTTTGAGCAAGTCACTTAATCTTACTGACTAGAGATTCCCCCTCTGTGGTGATGGCAAGGGTATCATAATAACAAATTATCTCACTGCTATACCTCAGCCACTTAGAGAAGCACTAGACATATGGTAAGTCCACAATTACTTTTTACTCTTATCTTTTTAATTAAGACTTTGTATTAACATACGTTCGATGCACCAGGGAGGAGTTTCATTGTGACATTTTCGTACACATATAAAATGTACCCTGGCCAACCTCAGCCCCTCCATACTTTCCCTCATCCTGCTTCTCTCCTCCTTAGAATAAATCCAACAAGTTTATTGTTCTGTTTTCCCATATGCATATAAAATACACCAACCATATTCATTCTCACTCACCCTCCCGCCTCCTAAGATAGCCTGTTTTACTTTCCTGTCTTTTCGTTTTTTTTAGTATATAGGCATTGTACCAAGAGGGTTAACCGTGGTGTTTCACACTTGTATGTATTATATTTAATCAGAATATTCCCTTCTATTGCTCTTCCTTTCCCCATCTCCCTCCCCCTATTGTTTAGCAACTTGCAGTGAGATTCCTATGCCATCATCATACATAGGCAGGCTTACTACTACTACTACTACTACTATTATTATTATGTTAGTTGTGAGGCTTGAACTCAGGGCTTGGATGCTGTCCCTGAGCTCTTTTTGTCAAGGCTATTGCTCTACCATTTGAGCCACAGCACAACTTTTGGTTTTGGAGTGGTTAATTGGAGTCTCACAAGACTTTTCTGCCCAGTCTGTCCTTGAACCATGATCCTCAGGTCTCAGACTCCTGAGTAGCTAGATTACAGGTTTGAGCCACTGATGCCCAGCTCAGGCTTTTTATTTTTATTTTTCGAGCCATGTCCCCTTTTTCTTTCTAAAACTCTTTGGCCAGGTGTTGGTGGCTCTCACCTTTAGTCATTATTATTCAGGAGGCTGAGATTTGAAAAGTGCAGTTCGAAGCCAGACCAGGCAGGAAAGTCCATGACTCTTCTTAAAAAGCCAGAAGTGGAGCTGTGGCTCAAGTGGTAGAGCACTAGCCTTGAGCAAAATAGCTCTGAAACAGCACCCAGGCCCTGAGTTCAAGACCCAGGACCAGCACAAAAACAAAACAACAACAAACCTTCTCTTTGTGGAATAATGGATCTTAAATTTTTCTTCCTTCTCCTGTGGGATATCTTTTCAGATATTTTAGAGGACATTTCCTTACTTTACTTGCTACTAGAGTGACTCAGATATCTCAGTGTCTACCATGCTCTGCTGGTTCATTAGAAGTAAGAGTCTCTCAGATTTGTCTGCCCATGCTGGCTTCAAATCTCAGCTTTAGATTTCAGCCTCCTGAGCAGCAATGATTACAGACATGCACTGGAGTCCCATCAGTCTGTCATCTTTAATCTGAAGTCCAACATTACCCAAAAGCCTTTACCAAATGATCCCAAATGGGTTCGTGCAAATCACTGTTAAAGGCAAAATCATTTTTTTGCTAGTTTGAAATGGTCATGTTTCTTCTCTCTCAAATCTAATAACTCATCTTTGACTAGATAGCTAAGTATTCTCCTCATCCTCTAATAGTGCTATATCGATTATTTAGAATTCATGATGGAGGAGGTTTGAATGGACCATTTAAAAATGTTAGCCATGAAATTATCTCTATTAACAATTGTTTTGTTTCCTTTAGCAGATGGCTTATAAATAAATAGGAAAGTTTCTGCCACATAGATCATGAGCCTGAACTCCTGCCTCTCCAAACATCTTTATCATAAACACATTAAGTACTGCAGTGGTTCCCAAAATATGCTCCCTGGAAGTACCAGCAGCATAACCATTGGGGAGTGTAACAGGATAATAGGAATGCAAACTCACCAACTTGCTGCAGATCTGCTGAGTCCAAAACTCAGGAAGGGGAACAGCAACCTTGTTTCTAAAAAAGCTTGAGGCACATGGCAGCATAGTGTTCTGGCAGGATAAAGTAGTGCACCCTTAGTCACTGAAAGCTGTTATCCTGCAGTATGCTGGACATGAAGTTTTCCAGTGAACAATCATGAGCTAAGTTGTTGTGATGGAGGTTTGGTTGCTGAGAGAGAGAGAGAGAGAGAGAGAGAGAGAGACTCTGTGTGGGACAATGTATGTGGTTGTCCCAGGGCTTGAACTCAGGGCTTGGGCACTGTCCCAGAACTTTATTGCTCAAGGCTAGTGTTCTACCACTTGAGCCACAGCTGCACTTCTGGCTTTTTTGGTAGTTAATTGGTCATAAGACTCACAAGACTTTCTTGCCTGGGCTGGCTTGGAACCGCAGTCCATAAATCTCAGCCACCTAAGTAGCTAGGATTATAGGCATGATCCACCAGCACCCAGTTGGTTTTACCTGTGTAGATGATTCCATTCCTAACCTTGGGTTGTTTACTTATAGTTGACCTCTCAGTTGGAGAAATAAGAAATAAAATTGGAGCAGTTAGGAAAGCAAGCAAACAAGCAAGAAAGAAAGAAAGAAAGAAGGGAAAGAAAGAGAAAAAGAGAAAGGAAGGAAGGAAGAAGGAATGAAGGAAAGAAGAGAGGAAGGAGAGAAAAGAAATACTGATAGGAGAAAGAAAGGAAGGAAGAAAAGAAGGAAGAAGAAAGGAGGGAAAGGAAGTGGGCCT